TCTTGGTTGAATGAATGGATTAATTCTACTTGGGCAGGTTTTTGATACGATTTTTTTTTTTTTTTTTTTTATGTAGGCCCTAGATGGCTCGAATAGTTAAGCGCTAGACTACTAACAGAAAGGAAATCGATTTGAACTTACATAATAGTTCCTCAGAAGAGACTGACTTACTTCTGAAAGGCCACAGCCTTAAAACCCTGTGGTTGTTGTGAAGTGCCTAGAGAGAGTCAGTTCCAACTCACAGCGATCCTGTATAGAGTTTCTAAGGCTAAGAAGCTTTGCATGAGCAGTAAGCCTGATATTTCTCCTGCAGAGTGGCTGGTGGGTTCCAACCACAGACCTCATGGCTGGCAGTCCAGTGTTTATCTTACAGAGCCATAGTGCTCCCCTAAAATACTATGGAGCATTCTTTTCTGAGCAAATTAAGTTGCTATAAGTCAGAATCAACCCCATGGCAATGAACAATGGCAACAACACCAACATGAGAGAAAGAGATGTCGGCTGGAGTTAGGACAGTTAGGTGGATTCTCAGCAACTGGTTATGAGGACTTAAAACCAATCCTGAAAAAAGTCTCTAGGATCATGTTGCAAGACTTTTTCCTTGAACCTATTCTACTCCATGTTGTTGTTGTTAGCTGCCATCAAGTTGATACAAACTCATAGCAACCTTATGCACAACAGAATGGAAACACTGCCCAGTCCTGCACCAACATCACAAGCATTGTTACGCTTGAGCCCATTGCTGCTGCCACTGTGCCAATCCATAGGTTCATCAATTACTTGACAAAGATGAGAAGCGAGAGGATAGCTCTAACATGCTAAGAAAGCAAGGGGACAAGGAAACAAAGTGGTTTCTATTGGACAGAATGAGTCCATATTATAAGATAAAGAATGAATACATCCAACTCTTAAAAAATAATTCTTCTATCCAACATGAGGCTATCTAGCCTGTGCTTAAACACTTTCAGCAGGACAGAATGCACCAGTCCTTCACAGAAGCCATCGTTTGAGGGGTAGCCAGGACTTTGAAATGGTTCTTCCTGGTTCAGTCATAGCCAAGGACGTGAAACCAGAACAGACCTAAATGTTTAAAATTTGAGTGAACTGAAGCTATACATGGACTGGGAAAACTTACAGGTTGCAGTACTCTTGGAAAACAAGGGTAATGTGAGAAGCGCATAGCAACCACATCTCTTTCTCACTGAGTTTCGAGCAGAGTTGGAAATAGTGGTGCTCCCCTCCAAGATAGTGGTCTCAGCTGTGTCACTTTGAATGTGTATGGCTGTCCACATTTCTGGCATTAACCAAGTCTACCACATCAGGCTCCTAAAAGGTTCACATGTCTTCCAGGGATTCTATATGTAATTTTTCCCATTCCAGACTAACCCCAATTTTAAAAGTTTGGGTCTGTTTTGGTTTGGCTTCACCTGCCATGTCTGATCTGTTTTGAAGCCCTTGAGACATCCCCAACTATGAATAAAACATTACGTGTTTCAGTTTAAAAGGAATCAGTTGTATGTACATGGAATGGACAAGATCATGTCAGCAGCTCCTGATTTAGACACAGTAACGGAGATGCTTAACTCAAACTTTATGTAATTTAAAAAAGGTTCATTAATCAAGATCTTTTTCCTCAAATTTTGTTATGAAAACTTTAAAAGACAAAGTTATAAACTTGAGTGTCTAGATAAAGACATGGCTCAGAGAAGGCAGGTTGTCTGAACTGGAAAAATGAAGATGTCAGCAGCTCAGGCCACTGTTAGGAAGAACACCTGGGCCGGCGAGTGAAATTTAAGAGAAGTCACTTTAGCCAGTGTGATAATTAGATCCATCCCATTCAAACTGAATAGCAAACACCACCAGGAAAGACAGTTCAACATTGAAAGAGATGAAGACTCTGTCCTCACAAACTTCATCCAATCTGTCTTACATAGAATAAGTTCTCCATCCCTTACAATGTTTAAGGAGAGGTGGGAAAATTACTACTGTGGGAACAATACTGAGCCAGGAGTCACGGTTGTACACAAACAACCATCAGGTTGCTGTGAGGACCAAACGAACAAGAAAAGATGTAGGCAGAAAGCTGCATAGCATGGACTTGCTCTCTGTCAGAGATGGCACACATAAGGTTTCCCTAATTTGGAAAGAAACTAGACTCTGTGAAAATACAAAGTCTAATCAGATCATTGAACTCTGTGATTTCCTTTTATTAATAAGCGAAACTAATTTATTACACTTAAGCATCCAAAGGAGGCCCGGTGGCACTGTTATTAAGCACTCGGCTGTGAGCCCAGAGGTCAGGGGCTCAAACTCACCAGCAGCCACGTGGGAGAAACTGTGGCAGTCAGTCTGCTGTAAAACTGTTGTTATTATTGCTATGTGCCGTGGAGTCGCTTCTGACTCATAGCGACCCTGTACAGGGTTCCCGAGGGTGTAAATCTTTACGGGAGCAGAAAGACTCGTCTTTCTCCTACGGAACAGCTAGTAGTTTCGAACTGCTGACCCTGAGGTTAGCAGCCCAATTCGTAACCACTACGCTACCAGAGTTCCTTCTGTAAAGATTATACCCTTGGAAAACCTACGGAGTCATTGCTATGAGTTGGACTCCACTTACTGGATGAAAATGTGTATGTTAGCATTCAAGGCATATATGGCTTTGAATTATAATGCATCATCCTATCACCCTTAATGTTCAAAATATATGCTAAAACCTTTAATGCCATGGAGTTAAATCCTTTAATAGAACCTACTTAAAAATTTCCCTCTTTCTTCACTGTTCATTATTTGGATAAGTGATCTGTGGTTGTGTGTGTGAGAAGATAAGGCTAATATGTATTCCAGAAAGCTCAAGGAAAATGGGAAGAATGCAAGAACTTACTGAAAAGGTCATTATACTTCTAAATAGTAATGATCAATATAAAGTCTGAGCACTTTTATGATTTATGGAGCCCTGGTAGTGAGTGGAGTGATGAAACACTCAGCTAGTAACAAAAGGTCAGGGGTTCAAACCCACCAGCTGCTCATGGCAGTTTGATTTCATAAAGAGTTACAGCCTTGGACATCCTATGAAACATTTCTATTTTTCCTATAGGGTCAATACAGGTTGGAATTAACTCATGGCAATGGATTCTATGAGGAACTTCAAAAAAGTTCGTGGAAAAATTCCAGTATCTTTTAATCCTATTTTTCCACGAACTTTTTGAAGCCACTTCATGTACTAATAGATGTTGTTAAGTGCCATCGAGTTAGTTCTGACTCATAGCAACCCTGAATAGAGTTTCTGCGAAGCAGCTCGTGGGTTTGAATCACCAACCTTGCAGTTAACAGGCCAGTGCTTATCCTACAGTGCCACATACTGATAGGTGGAATGGACTTATTCTACATCCATATCCTTTTTGCCTTAATGATAAAGAACTTGAAAGCAGTGCCTAAGAAATAGGTGAAAATCATTCACATGGCGGAGCTCAAAATCCATCAAAAGGGAAGAGCCTGGAATTAAGAAGAAAAGAAAATGGAATGGGGAACTGGGAGGGAAAACAGAAGAGGTAGTTTGAAAAGTGTGTTGAATTAATTATGGTAGAAATCTAAAATTTTATACGAGCAAAAATAAACTCCAGATTCTTTCTTGCATTTTTTATCTCATGCAAACCTCTTGGCCCATCTTTTCATTGCAAAAAAGGATTTCTAGGTGCATGGTCCATAGTCATGAAATACTCCAGGAATACACCAAAATGATAATGTGGATGGAACAAATGGGTAAGAATGGTGATTTAAATTATTTTGCTACCTGTGATGGAAAACAGTTTTCAGAGTGTGGTCATTTGAGTACATTTGAGATGTGAATACTCATATTTATGTAGCTTGTAGGAGCTTGCTGCACACGGAGTTCAGCTTGTGATCGGTGCGGTGCTGTATTTTAATTCCCGCCAAGGCCTAGCTCGTTCTGTGGAACACTGCTACCAGGGATGTATGTGCCTCAGCTTCCCTGTCCCATCTGCTTCTCTGTGCTCCATACCACTTAGTCATCAGTGAGTTTTCTTAGAAAAGGTTCTGGATTTGTGGGGTCCTTTTCCCACCAGCCGGTCCTTGGAAACTCTGTACAGAGTCGCTATGGGTCGGAATCAACTCAATGGCACTTAAAAACAACAACTTCCCACCTTGGTCTCTTGCCAGTGCCTCCCACTGGTGGCACCCAAAAGGACCCAAAGGGAGCTAGAGCCAGGTGATGTTGGTGGAGGGGCAGTCAAAGGGAAGGGATAGATGAAGGTGAGTGGGGACCAAGTGAAGAATCACCAGCTCATTTTCTAGATGGATGGATGGATGGATGGATGGATGGATGGATGGTCAGTGAATCCTTGTGGTTTTACCTATTTTCTCTGTAAACTGTGAATAGTTAAAAAAAAAAAAAAAATTCTTCCTATAAGAACAAAACAAAACAAAAAACCAGTGAAAATAGAATTGAATTATGTGGAAATCTTTTTTAAACTGCCCCAAATGTTCTGCATTAGCATGCCTTTCTTTAGTTTATTTGTATGGCTATTTGAGGAGAGAAGGACTAGAGCAGGTAGAAAAAAACATGACCTCAGGGTGGGGTAGTTAAAATGTTAACTTTAAAAGAGAAGAATGATTTGTTTCCACTCTTTGTTTAAAGTGTTGCAAGGACATTTTTGAACCTGATAAATGGCACAATGACTAAATGTGTGTGTGACACTGATTGTGAAAAAACGAAATCACTGTGTTCACACCATTAAAAAAAAACGCAATCCCTTGTTCACAGCAATGGAATAGAAAAACCCTTCATTGCTTTCTAAAGTTCACTGTGACTTAGTCATTTTTTGATGGGGGAGAGAGAAAATGTTTCCCTCCCAGAAGAAATAAACTAGCACGAGATTTGTATAACATGAGTGAATGCCAGATGCCATCACTGTAAACCGTGGTTCTGAGCCAGCTCCTTCTGAGACACTTACTGACCCTCAGGGAACAGCCTGGCAGAGGTGTACCTGTATGTGTCCTCCGATGAGCCTTCAGGTGAGAACTTTTTGTATATACTTTGTTGCATCCCTCAAAGTCACATCTGTGGATACGCCGTTTTCTGGAGTCTGGAGATTCAGACCGTCTCTGGCGTCTTGTGCTCTCAATACTAAATGGTGAAATTGAACTGAAAAAAGAAAAAAATGGAGTTAAGTAGGCGGAAACACATCACTCCACTTTGGTTCTAGTGACAGGAGAGCTTTATCTTGTGCTGAGTGCTTCAAACAGATGCAAGGCTACTATGTCCACATTTCCTGTGGCCACTTTCTCTGGTAAAGCTCATTTCTCAATCTTGAAGGCAAACCATAAGACTTATAGTTTCTGATGAAATACTTCCAGGTACAGAAAGACTACTTAAAAGAAAAACAAAAATCCTAAAAACTAAATGAAAGCACTGTGAGGTGAATTATCCCCAAGATCAAAAGAAATAGCTTGGTAGGTGTCAGATGTAGTTCTACCTCAGAATTTAGAACACTTACAGAGAAATTCTTATGAAGCTCTGTTATTAATAAAACAAAAACAAAATAAGTACATTTAATAAATAGCATGCTGGGTTGAACTGTATGTGACAACATACAAAACAGTGTAAAAATCACAATGTACTTTTCAAAACCAGTGAGGTCAGGCTCAGAGAAATGACATCAGAACATCAATAGCATGACTCATGACAAGCTATTTCTATTCAGGATATTGTACCTAACATTTAACTTTTCCAGTTGATGGCTTTTCGTGGTAAAGAATAAAGTGCATTGTTTTTAAAAGATTAGTTGTACCACCACTATGAAAAAACAGTATTAACCATGAAATTTGGCCCTGACTTGTATGCTATTTATTTTCAATGCCCCCGTAGAAAACCAGGATTATTAGGTAATGCCCTTGTAATTGACTAACATGTACTTCTTCAAACCTTAGTTTCTCTTGATTTAGACAGAAATATGACTGATCATTTTCCTTTTGTTATTCATGTGGTTCTTTAAAATTACTGTGAAATACAATTTAAATACTTAATCATCCATAGTCCCACTATCAAAAATTTGCCACTTAATAACTTAATATATTTTCTTCTGATTTTTGCATGACTTAATGCTTTTAAAAATAATCAGTTAATTCTTTTTTTAAAAATTAAACATTACAGATAAATTCTCCCCTTCATCCTTTCTTATGTTAGTTTTCTTTGGATCCTCCCAATTCTTTCAAGATATATGCATATATATATTTCTTCATATTCACAGACATTCATAATATTTCTTGTGTGCTTTTAAAAGTCACATAAACATAATAGCATTTATATCATTCTGAAAATTGTTCTAAATCTTTTTTTCCCTTTAATAATCATTGCGAACCTTAAGGACAGCGGTTCGAAACTTTCTCGCTCCGCGGGAGAAAGATGAGGCTTTCTACTCCCGTAAAGATTTACACCCTCGGAAACCCTGTACAGGGTCGCTATGGGTCGGACCCGACTCGACGGCACTTAACAACAACAACAACAAGCATGTGAGTTAGCCATGCTGATGCAAATGAATGTAGTTGGTTCACTTGAAGTGCTGTATTCTCTTGTTAAGTGTCAAGCCAGTTAGGACTTGTAGCAACCCTATATAGGGTTTCCGCAGCTGTAAATCTTTATGGGAGCAGAAAGCTTCACCTTTCTCCAGCAGAGTGGCTGATAAGAGTCAAGCCACCTACCTACCTACGCTGTGGCTCACAGACAAGTGCTTATCTTACAGCATCACCACACTCCCTTTGAAGTGCTGTATTTGTTGTTGTTGTTAAATGCAGTTGAGTCCAACTCATAGTGACCCTGTATAGGGATTCCAAGGAGTGGGTGGTGAGTTTGAACGGCCCACCTTGTGATTCAAACCAACCTTGCTATCCAGTGCATTATCCTGCACCGCCACACCAGGACTCCAAAGTGCTGTATACATTACATCAATTAAAAATATTGTTTTTCTTCTTCTATTTCAACACCTCTTAAATCAGTTGACCATTTATATAATATTTTATCTTTATAAGTAATACAATCCTTTCTATTTACTGTTGTTGTCGTTAAGTGCTGTCGAATCAGTTCTGACTTACAGCGACCTTATAGAGGGTTTCTGAGAAGCAACTGTTGAATTTGAAACACTGACCTTGAGATTAACGGTCCAGTGTTTATCCTACACTGCCACATCATAAGTCCTTTCTCTTTATTGTTGTTGTTACATAAAAATAATGGTGCATATTACAATGTTGTTGTTGTTCTTAAGTGTCAAAGAGTTGGTTCCAACTCATAACAACCCTGTATAGGGCTTCCAAGGAGTGGTTGGTGGTTCTGAGCCACCACCTTGCGGTTAGCAGTCCAGTACTTATCACACAATTTTTTTTCTATAAAGAACTAGATAGTAAATATCGCGTTTAGATTTTGAGGACCATACAGTCAGCTGCAACTAATGAATTCTGACAACGTAGCATTAAAGTACCTACTAGACAATACATAAACAAGTGACCATGGCTGTGTTCCAATAAAACTTTACTTACAAAAACAGGCAGTACGCTTTATTGGCCCATAGATTATACTTTTTAGACCCCTGACTTAGATGAAATATCACTGTAATCCATTAAATATGTTTCTCAGTGTTTTAAAATTTTATTTTCCATAATCAACATTTAGATGTTTTCTAATATTTCCTTTCATGTTCTCCAGTGAACTTTTTTGAAATGTCTCCTTCTTCAAATGTATTTTTTTATGCTTTAAAGGTATTTTTACCTTTATACAGATAACAAATTCAGCAGCCAAACCTTTATAAATTACTATGTTGTTGTTGTTAAGGGCCGCCAAGTCAGTTCTGACCCACAGTGAGCCTGTATAGTATTTCGAGGAGCAGCTGGTGAGCTTGAACCACGGACCTTGCAGTTCAAAGCAATTTTGCAGTCTAGCGCAGTTCAAAGCAATTTTGTAGTCTAGTGCATTCACCCACAGCACCACACCAGGAGTCAAGATTAAAACATAGCTGCTATTTATCTAACTATGTCATAAACAGTTTTATGTAAGATCTACATTAGTTGACTCTATGGTAAAGCTCTGGTAGCGTAGTGGTTATGAATCGGGCTGCGAACCTTAAGGTCAGCGGTTCGAAACTATCAGCTGCTCCGCGGGAGAAAGATGAGGCTTTCTACTCCCGTAAACATTTACACCCTCGGAAACCCTGTACAGGGTCGCTATGGGTCGGAACCGACTCACCAGCACTTAACAACAACATGGTAAAGCTAAATTATTTTTTTTAGCCTTCTTAGCAATCAATGTGGATTTGTGGCTTTCCAAATAATTGCCTTAGTTGCAGGGATTGACATTTATTATGAAAAGAAGCAAGATAGTGTGATTGGCCTGCCCAGGTAAAAACATTAGTCACTCCTGACAAGGCATGCTCTATAAAGGCATGTGATTCCTGTGAATAAGTAAGACAGTGTATGTGATAATACAGCAATAGTGATTTATTCCTTGTATTTCTAGTCATTTCATGTATTTCTAGTCTAAACATGGGTGTTGGCTTTTGAGACCTAAAAAACAGAAGTCATTGTGGTTTTTTTTTTTTTGTATAACATTTGACATGTCTTAAAATGGAGAAAAAGGTAAGATATTTGCTTCCTTCTTCAGATTATAACTTGGAGTCTATTATCATAACACTGTTTTGTAGAATTTCTACATATTAATATATGGAAATTTAAATGCAGCTATGCATAAATTCATGCATTATTATTTCTCCTTTAGTTGATTTTTAGCTATTATCTTCCTGTGTATTTGTGTATACAAAGAAAAGTAGAAAATAAATTTGAAGTCAAAACCAAGTGAAGACTAAATGATCCTCAAGGGACCAATGAGATAAGGTAGCTATACATTATAGATCACTCACTTATTATTTGGCAAGCACAGAAACAAATGCAAAGCTACAAAATAGGAGGAAAGTTCCTAGTTAAGTCTTTCACATTTACATTAAAATGAAGACATGTTAAGTGGATGGCCTTAATGCTGTATCAGCATTGAACTGCTAAGCACAAGGTTGGCAGTTCAAACCCACCAGCAGCTCGTTTGAAACTATACAGGGTGACTATGAGTCAAAACTAAATTAAGAGCACTTATATGCAATAAGAGCTATACCCAGTAAAACTGCCTTTAAGTGACATTCAGGGGTGAAATTTCTTCTTGGTTCTCATTTTTCAATGGCAAAAATAACCTTTTTAGAAGATGTTAGAAAATGGGCTAGGGAAACCTTTGTTAGGGAAGTAAGTGTATCTGAAGTAAATAGGGACCAACATATATAGAGAGGAATGTGAAGAACACAGAGGTCAGAGAGCAGCCGCCTACTTTGAGGACAGCCTTTGCTATACCGAAGTCCACAGCATGTTTCCATACTTGGCAGTCATGATACAAGGACAGCTACCATAGGCTGGTGGCTTGACCAATCCAAGTACATGGTTGTAGAGATGCTAATCCATGCATTGTCACCAAGTGGTTTTGTACCTCTAGAGCATAGGACCCAACAGACATTCAAGACATGTTTGTTAAAGAAAGTAAATGACGGATTCTAAAAAGTAAAGTACGCCTTACTCTGAAATCCCTGAGTGGTGCGAACATGTTCATCTACTTACTGAAAGTTGAGGGTTCAAGTCCACCTGAGGAGCACTGGAAGAAAATCCTGGAGATCTAGTTCCAAATTATCAGTGCTACTGAGACACATGTGGGGTCTCCATGAGTAGGAATTAACTTGACTGGTTGAATGTAACTGGTTACACCTAACTTTTCATTTAATCAAATTCATTAATCAATCCTTAGCTGGTTAATTAATCCTTGCTCCAATCTTTTGGATGAGTCCTGGTGGTGCACTGGTTAAGCATTTGACTGATAAATGAAAGGTCAGTGGTTCAAATCTTCCAGCTGTTCTGTGGGAGAGAGATGTGGCAGTCAACTTCTGTACAGCCTTGGAAACCTTACAAGCAGCTCTACCCTGTACAGAAAGGGTCCTATGAATCCAAATCAACTTGATGGCAGTGGGTTTAGGATCACTGGATTGTAAATCTTCAGATACAAGGTACTCAATTGCTCACTCCCACCTCCAGTTCCCTGGGTTTCATATTTCAATGCTATACAAAGTG